TTTCTCTGCCAGTCCATAACAAAAACTGAAAGCCGGCAAAGAAGTGACAGGACTGGACACCCATCACCCTGATTCCGTGATGCTCAGTGGAAAACAGGGACAGCCTCAGAGAGATTCAGACCCTCTTGGCAACACAGTTTCCAAAATTAATTCCATCTGGACAGCTGAATTTGAAAAATCTCTCCTAATGTGGCACAAGATAGGGTGATTCCACAGCAGACCTTAAATCCTGGTTCAACCCTGTCCCCGAACGTACGTTCTACACTACACGCGAGTTCACCCCTGTAATTATCTTGGGGTATTTTTACAATCTACACTACACGCGAATTCACCCCATTAATTATCTCGGGGTATTTTTACATTCTACACTACACTCGAGTTCACCCCTGCAATTATCTCGGGGTATTTTTACATTCTACACTACACTCAAGTCCACCCCTGCAATTATCTTGGGGTATTTTTACATTCTACACTACACTCAAGTCCACCCCTGCAATTATCTTGGGGTATTTTTACATTCTAGATTACCCTCGAGTTCACCCCTGTAATTATCTCGGGGTATTTTTACATTCTAGACAACACTCGAGTTCACCCCTGTAATTATCTCGGGGTATTTTTTGTTTCCACATTACCTTGAGGTCACCTCGGTTTCGCCCCACACTTGTCCTGGGATAAACGGATGCTGTTATAACCAGGGATAAATGCAAGGTATTGTGTCGTGAGCTGAACTCTGAAAAAACCAGGGATGAGATCCAAGTGCGGAAAGGACCATAGATTCAGGTGGGTCGCCGTGTCGGTCTGAAGCAGGAGAACAAAGTTTGATCCAGTGGCACCTTTAAGACCAACAAAAGTTTTATTCAAGGTATAAGTTTTTGTGTGCATGCACACTGCTGCAGATATCTGAAGAACTTTGTTTGTCTTAAAGGTTCCACTGGACTCAAACTTTGTTCTAATGTGACAAAAGAGTTGTTGCACTTTTTTTTTTTTTAAAGGCGACCTACCAGGTCTATGCAACTGTACAAACAGATTTGGCTGTCTCTGTACATGATCCAGCATAGTAAAGTTCCATGCGTTTCAACAAGAGAGTTAAACATGTGCTTTATTCTCCCCCTACTGAGATAAACAGGAGTGAAATTATTTCAATTTGGCCAGGCAATGCCTCATATTTCTATTATCAGCTTATCTAAGAAATAAAATAGAATATTGCAAAAACACAGGATGTGCACCTTGGAAGAGAGCTCAAAATGCTCTCCCCCCCCAAAAAAAAAATGTTGCCCAATGCTTGTTAATTTAGAATGGCTGGCTAATTACGGAACGTCATAATCTGAAGTGATCTCTTCCTCAGAACACACACTGCTTATAATTCCTTATTAATTGCCCTCTTAAGTGTGCAAATTTACATATCAAATTTATGTCGACAATGAGGGAGAGATGCAGGTGGTTTTCCCAGAGATATTTAGAGAGAGAGAGAGAGAGAGAGAGAGAGAGAGAGAGAGAGAGAGAGAGAGAGAGAAAAGAAAGAGTCCAAAGAAGGCAACACCAAGCAGTCTGGTGGACAGTATTCATTCCAGAACAAAAGTCCCCTGCTGCTATTTTCCCCGAGTAATTTGAAACTAAAGATGGGGATTAAGATCTTTCAGCTTTATCTTCCCACCTCCCAGAAAATAATTTGGATCTGAGTGTGGTGGTGGTGGTGGTCATTAGAATATTTTCTATTCTGTGACTATGCTAAAAAAAATGCATTAGCATGCAGATGGGCCCACAAGGGATTTGTTTCTGGGAACAAAAACATGTCATTTGCTTATGGCTTTAGAAGGGCTTCCTTGCACATGTTGGAAAAGACCTGTTTCCTTGCGTAGACTTGAGATGAAAAGTGGAGGCTGGGGAACGGGGTCTCGAAGCCGCCTCGAGTGCGACGAGAGATTCCGAGCCAGCGGATCAGAGGGCAGATTTAGCAAGCCTCAGCGGCTTCCTGAGATGCTTCTCGGCCAAGCAGAATTCAGACCAGCGATGTACAAAACATATTAAGTGTTGTGAAACATTTTTATCACTCCACGTCAGTGAGCATCTCTGTAAATACTCTCCCTTTGGTTAGAAAGAATAGTTCCTAAAAAAGCCAACAGAACAATGGAAGCACGAGAGGCGAAATAACTGCTGGCCTTTATAATCTCCCCCCCCCCCAGACTGGAGCAGCGCTTGAGGGCAGTGTTCCCTCTAGGCTGAGTTAGTGTGAGCTAACTCACAGGGGGTTTTTAGCCCCCGGCTCACACATTTTTGTCTTAGCTCAGGAAGGATGGCTCCAGAGCCAACTAATTTATGCAGGAGTCAAATCGCCTGCTCACAACTTTAATGCCAGTCGGTCTCAAAGTAGAATCTTTGCTCACAGGACTCCACAGCTTAGAGGGAGCATTGCTTGAGAGTAAAATTGGGATTAAACTATTTTATTTGCAGTTAGGTTTTCTTCCTTCTGAATATTCCAAACCCCCAGATTATCTAGAACATCAATCCCAAAGTACACTTTACCAACCAAGTCAGAAAAAAGGCCCCAAAAAGCTATTTGGAATTTCAGATACAATCATGATATTTTCTTAAAATAGCCAAGAATCATCTCCCTTATATATAAAAGCTGAATGGTGGTGGCATTTCTCTAGAACATTCCACACGCTCCGGAATTGGTTGGCGCCCTGGTGGCCAGTCAGAGCACAGAGGTTATTTGCATATGCAGCCTCATTGGCCTTTGCCTCGGAACACAGAGGTCGTTTGCATATGCGACTTGATTGGCTTTTGCCTCTAACATTCTAAACAGTTTTGCTGTTCTGAGGTAAAATGTGTCCAATCTCCAGGTGAGGGCTGGAGATCCCTCAGAATTACAACTGCTTTCCAGATGGCAGAGATCAATTCCCCTGGAGAAAATGGTGGGCTCTGTAGCCTTACATTCTGCTGAGGTGGCCCCCGTATGACAGGCAATGTGACGTAGGAGTAAGGGCTTCAGAGCATGGGAGAGGCTGCAGGTGTGTGTGGGGGGTGGAAAGCTGAAGAGTGAGGGGGAAATAAAGGTAGGCTGATGATTGGCTGGGAAGGAGGTAGGGTTGTCAACTCCAGGTGGGAAATTTCTGGAGATGGATGGAGCCTGGAGAGGGTGAGGTTTCAGGAGGGGTGGGACCTTGGACAGGTACAAAGCCATAGACTCCACCCTCCAAACCAACTATTCCCTTCTGGGGAACCATCGTTGCCAATCTCCAGGTGAAGACTGGAGATCACTCCAAATTACAACTGTTCTTTAGGTAGCAGAGATCAGTTCCTCTGGAGAAAATGGTGGACTCAGTGTCATTATACCCTGCTGAGGTCGCCACAGCAAATTGACACTGAGTGTCCAAGGCCGGGGCACCCACCCAGAGCCTCTTTCTAGAAGCCGTTGTATTTATTTCCACAACGAGCCTTTTTCCTAGTTTTAAAATAATGTTGTGTTCGGTATGTATGTGTGTGTATGGTTCAGAGGGCCACACAACTCTTGGGAGTTTTCCAGCCCCAACGCAGTGTGGTCCTTATGATTCCTCACGCAGACATGGTTTCTGGATGTGGCAGAATGGGTCACCAGTGTGGGATGGGGGTCTTAGGGTTGCCATATCCAGGCTGGAAAACTCCTGGAGATTTGGGGGTGGGGCCTGGGGAGAACAGGAACCTCAGTGGGGTACAATGCCACCGAGTTCACCCTCCAACAGATCCATTTTCTCCAGAGGAACTGATCTCTATAGCCTGGAGATGAGATCACACCTGGAGGATGGTATCCCTAACGGGGATAAGGCAGCACTGCATGACGGCCACAACTTGCCCCATCAGTCTGAACATGGGGGAGGCCATTTTAATAGTCCCACACGTTCAGAGCAAGAAAAGAAAGAATCACATCAGGTGCACAAGTTCTAACCTAGGCCTCTAACGCCAAGCTAGTTTTCTACTTATTTATTTATTAAAACATTTATCCCCCCACCTTTCCTTGTGATTCAAGTCAGCTCACGATAATAGTTAAAGCATCCCCAGCGAAAACCAAAGATAAAACAGCAAGCGGCAAATCTGCCCTTTGAATCATAGAGTCGGGAGGGACCTCCAGGGTCATCTAGTCCAACCCCCTGTACAGTGCAGGAAATTCAGAAATACCTCCCCCACCACACACACACACACAGTGACCCCTGCTCCATGCCCAGAAGATGACAAAGAAAAAACCCCTCCAGGATCCCCGGCCAAACTGGCCTGGAGAAAAATTGCTTCCTGACCCCAAAGTGGCTATTGACATTTCCCTGGGCATGGAAGAAAGGGCCACAAGGGAATGCTAGCTGCCCCTTTAGGGGGGTGCCTGCCTTAAAAGATGCCTCCCATTTGACCTCTCTCAAAAGGCCAGGCGGACAGGCAGGCCTTGCTGTGCCTTCTGGAGATCTCCACGAAGGGACTCCCCCCCCCCTTCTTCAGGGAGCCCCTTCTGTTGAGCCGGAACCATGATGGGAAAAGCCCGAGCTCTGGTTGATGCCAGACGGGCTACCCTAAATGGTGGAATAGCCAACAGATGGTTGCCTGATGACTGCAGGTGACGCACAGGAACACAGGGGAGGAGACAATCCTTCAAAAGGAAGGCAAAAGATAAAGGTAAAGGTTTCCCTTGCCCGAAAGCTAGTCGAATCCGACTCTAGGGGGCAGTGCTCATCTCCGTTTCCAAGCCGAAGAGCCAGCGCTGTCCAAAGACGTCTCCATGTTCATATGGCCGGCATGACTAGACACCGAGGTGCATGGAATGCTGTTACCTTTCCCACCGAAGCGGTACCTATTTATCTACTTGCAATTTCTGGCTTTCGAACTGTTAGGTCGGCAGGAGCTGGGGCCCCACCGTAGTTTTGTACCTGAGAGGGGCTATCACTGACAGGCTCAGTGAACGCAGGCTCACTTGACACACACACACACCTGACAGAGACACAATTCGTAGTCTTCTTTCCATAATCTTATATACTTACAGCTCTGGCACTCGTCCGCAGAAGGTCCCCAACATCGGTTTCCACAGGACTTGTGACACCGGCCACCTTCAGGGAAAAGAGAGACAAAATCAAAGGACGATGCAGACGCTAATGCTTTGTGCCACTTTAAGCTGCCTCCCGAAACAACACCATAAAGGAAATCACAACTGCCGTGTCAATGGACGTCGTATCTTATCGCAACGGACGGGCTTAAAATAAAACTGCTCCACAGACACCCTGCCTCAAGTTCCGAGCAGTGTTCCCTCTAAGCTGAGTCAGTGTGAGCTAGCGCAAAGTTTTTTAGCCCCCAGCGCACACATTTTTGTCTTAGCTCAGGAAGGACGGCTCCAGATCCAAACTAATGTATGCAGCAGCCAAATCGCTCGCTCACAACTTTAATGTCAGTAGCTCACAAAGTAGAATTTTTGCTCACAAGACTCCACAGCTTAGAGGGAACATTGGCTCCGAGTGGATACGAAGGCAATTGAGGGTAGACCTTTGCATCCCACTAGGGCTGTCAGCCCCCGGTTGAGAAATTCCTGGTCGTCGTGGGCATGCAGCCCAGTGAGGGCAGGGTGTGGGGAGGGAGCTCCGTGGGGCATCGTGCCATACATAGGGTCCACCCTACAAAGCTGCTATTTTTTCTCCAAGGGAAGTGGTCTCTGTTGTCCGGAGATCGGTTGTGATTCTGGGAGATCTCCAGGCCCTGCCCGGAGGCTGCCAACCGGACATCCCACTTCTGTCACCTTTTCCCAGCTGCTCAGGAGCCGAATGTGTTGCTCTTCGAGATGCTTTCCAGCTCCACCAGCCTTTCAGCTTGAGGAGGGGCAGCAGCCAAAGGAATGCAGGGCATGACTTCTCACAAGACAATGCAACTGAGTATTTATCTATTGGTTTGTTTCTTTAAAATAGGTCTACCTCGCCTTTCCACCCAACTCAGGGTCCTCCAAGCCGGCCAACATTAAAACATTCCAAGAAGAAGAAGAAGGAGGAGGAGGAGGAGGAGGAGGGGGAGGAGGAGGAGGAGGAGTTTACAGTCTCCTTTCCCGTCCCCTCCCCCCAAAAGGAA